CAGACCGTGAACACAGTAGACCGTGAGCACGACAGACCGTGAGCACAGCAGACCGTGAGCACGACAGACCGTGAGCACAGCAGACCGTGAGCACGACAGACCGTGAGCACAGCAGACCGTGAGCACAGCAGACCGTGAGCACGACAGACCGTGAGCACAGCAGACCGTGAGCACAGCAGACCGTGAGCGCGACAGCCGAGCCCGCTCCGACAACGCTGGGAAAGCTGCTACTTCAAGGGATACTTGCAGGTACCAGTTGTGTTCGTTGATATCGGGCGCATCTCAAAAACATCCATGTCATTCATGGCATGATCACACATTGGCTTGACGATAACACCATCTGAGGCGTCAACAGGTTGATTGATCGCGTCCTATTTATACAGGGATTGGACGCTTGATAATTACATCGCAAAATTTGAGCAATGCTGCTGATAATGCGCGCATCCGCCGAATTAAGCGGCTCGAGGCATTTTGTTAATGTGAACGGGCTCTTCCCAGTGAAGGATGGGTACAAAATTAATCATTCCAAGTCATTGAAAGGAGGTTTCCATCTCTCAACCATGACTCTGGTTGCGTTGTTTTTTTTTCAGGGACCGCCTCGCTTCACACAGCAGCCAGGCGGCACAGCCTGACACCCGGCCCCGTGGGCGGAGGGGCACTTCTCCCCGCTTTCAGGGACTGTCCCGCCTTACACAGCAGTAAGGCGGCACAGCCTAACATTCCTCTCCACAGGCGGAGGGGCGCCGCTCCCCGCTCGGTCCGCACCTGGCCACCAGCGCTGGAAGTCGACGGCATCGGAGGAGTTCTCCCAGATCCAGACGACCCGGCGGAAGATGTTGACACCCACGCCAGACGTATGTAGACAGCCGATGTTGGGCAGGTACTGCAGCAGTTCGCTCACAAAGTCGCTCTCCGCCTGTCCGCAGACGCAGTAGCCGAGTGGGTTAACGTGGCCGGCTTGTCACACAAAATCCGGGTTCATTTTTAGCGGCAGGTGACCTTCATAGGTCCTGGCTCCGCCTGTGGTGTCGGCGCTCATGAACTCAGGAAGTGCATGGCTCAATACTGCAACAGTGTGTCGGTGGGCTGATGTCAGCCCGATGTCGGCAGTGGCGGCGGGTGGGTCGGTCCGGCGGAGGACGCGGTGGCTCTCAGAGTCTGCTCTGGTCATACCTGCAGGGTCCGTTGAGAGGATCGGCAGGAGCGGTATGTGGTCTGGCGGTCCGTTGGAAGGCTTGGTGGCCCTCCGAGTCTGTTGAGGGGATCAACAGGAGCGGTATGGTGGGAGATGAAGGAGCCAACCGCATAGTTTGGGGTTGTGCAGCTCAGAGCTAGGATCCGGGGTCCGGGATCCGGGGGACTCCCCAGCTGTGCAGGCAGTAATACGCCGCCCAGTGTGCATCCGAGCCTAAATATGTGTGTCAAAGTCTAAAAGTAAATGCATATCTGTTTATTCTATTCATCGACCAGGGCAATAGCTCGGGTCAAGTTGAAGCCTTCCACACATCGGACAAGGAAAGAGATGTGATCAAGATGACAGCGAGTACAAACAGAGTAGCAAGCAGGTGAACACTGCAACACGCGGCATGGCAAGGCATCTATATCATGAAGTGACGGCCACGCCACGCCGGCCATGCGGGGGCAACGTTTGTCTGTCATAGAAACGGGTTAAATCAGAATTCACATGATAATTCATGATATCCAAGTACATTCATGGATTTTTTGCGATTTTTTCAGCGCATTATTATGGAAGAAATCTCCAGCACCTGCCATGTTTCACATACAGATCTCTCCAGCAACACATCGCCGTGGGGGCAGTGCGAAGCCGGAATAAACTGGCTCAAATCACAAGGCGGCGGCTGTCGACACCCACCTGGCTCTCGATGGCGAGCAGGCTGCCGCCCTCCCTCTCGCAGGTCATCAGGGCGTCTTGACGTGACGTGGGCTGGGTAGGGTGGACCTTATAGCAGTGCTCCTCGAACAAAGTGTAGCCCTCCGGGCATGACGAGAGTGTGTTCTCCTCGCAGCGGACACCTGGCGCGCGGCGAATGGCACAGATCAGTGAATGTCCCCATATGGGACCCCTGAAGTGGGTTACCTACTGCGCGGCCGCCACGGAAAGAATAATTGGAAGAGGAATTGAAAGTGGGAAACTATAGAATGTTTTTGGTGTTAGTTCGACGGGAGGGAGCAGAAAGTTTAGTACTGAGGACGCCTAGCGTCCTCGAGGAGGGCCGCACGTTCCGCGTGATTCGACTGATGGCTGACAACACGGCCTTTGTGTGTTTAAATCACAGCTATGATCGAAAGTGTCCCATGGTGGGTCATGGGTGGCTGCTGCAGGGTAGCAAACCGGGATAGCACGCATAGTCCTAAAGCGAGCAGAATGGTTAAATGGGAACAACTAAGCGCGATATCTAGATGATACGCCTGAATTACGAACCCACGACTTTGCAGGTGTCCTGCGCTCTCTTCTGACACTCGTAAATGTGCATCTCATCGCCCGTGCAGTCCAGCGACAGCAGACGGTTGCTCTTGTCCAGCTTGAAGCGGAGAGATGTCTTCATGCTCAGTTGTTTCGAGCCTCTGGCAAAAGGCATCGCGTATGTTGGTCTAAGGTGTCTCGAAATATAAAATGAGCGCATCTTTTATTGGGACCGTTCATAAGTTATGTTACATATTTCTTAGCCATTTGTAACCATTAGCCATTTGCCACTTCTGTCTGGTTATGCACTGTTGACGTCGGGAAAAAAGTTCCTAAGCAAAGTTGAAGCAATCAAACCTCACGCGCCACAAACGCACCGGCCCAGAATAGAAACATTACTCAAAAGGAACGTCCAGTTAGTTCCTAATTGAGCTACAGATGCATTCGTAGTTATTTTCTTATTGGTGTTTAAGGATGCACCGACTACTGAGCTCATTTTGCGCCCATATTGAGCAAGAGATGAAAACCATTAACGGGCGTGTCGCCGACTAGCGGATGAAGCCAGCGCTCTCCGACTTTAGGGAAGGTAAATAGTTTTCGTGGATATTTTGGCACGATTTGCACCCCCACCTGAACGTAGCTGTCCCATTACCCTTCCTTTTAAGGTTTGTGCACGCTCTTAAAAGGCGCTCCCCGTGCATCACGTGACTTATGGACGGCCCCAAAAAGGGAATGGAACAATGCTAGCTAAGAAACGTGAAGGTTCCAGCGTACACTGGCTGTGGGAAGTCGAGGTCTCAGTGTACACTGGCTGTGTGAGGTCGAGGTCTCAGCGCGCACTGACTGTGTGGAATCGGGGTCTCAGTGTAAACTGGCTGCGGAAAGTCGAGGTCTCAGCGTAAACTGGCTGTGCCAAGTCGAGGTATCAGCGTGCACTGCCTGTGTGAAGTCGAGGTGCCAGCGTACACTGACTGTGTGAGCCTGGGGTCCCAGCGCGCACTGGCTGTGTGATGCTGAGGTCCCAGCGCACAGTGGCTGTGTGATGCCGAGGTCCCAGCGCACACTGGCTGTGTGATGCTGAGGTCCCAGCGCACAGTGGCTGTGTGATGCTGGGGTCCCAGCGCACACTGGCTGTGCGAAGTCGAGGTCTCAGCGTGCACTGCCTGTGTGAAGTCGAGGTGCCAGCGTACACTGACTGTGTGATGCCGAGGTCCCAGCGCACAGTGGCTGTGTGATGCTGAGGTCCCAGCGCACACCGACCGTGTGAATCCCAGGTCCCAGCAGACACTGACCTTGTGAATCCCAGGTCCCAGCAGACAGTGTCAGCCATGTGATGATCGAAGCCGTTCTCGCAGATGTGGTTCCACTGGCCCTCGTGGTACAGCTGAACATAACCCTGCCGAAGGCGCGCGAGCAGCGTGACTGACTGACCTGACTGACTTGTCCAGACTTTAAGCATGGAACAATGCGAGTACATGCTGACATGGCTTGACCAAACTAATGGACCGTGTTCCTGTACACAAGCAGCCACGGGTATGAGCATTTAAGCGGATTAAACCCACATTAGACCTCGCAAATACCAACCGAGATCACGATGTCAAATAAAGTCTTCGAGACATGCGTGCAGTCTTGTCAGTCCCGGCACGTTCCCTCAGGCAATGGGGGAAATGCGGGTGTTACCCGGATTCGTTCCATGAAACGCCGTAGGTGGATTTGATGATAACCTTTTCCAGAGATAAGGACGGCATCCTTTCTACTCTATCCCATTCCTGTCTCTTCCTCCTCCGCCCGTCCCTGCTCCAATTTCAGTGAGAGGTACGGCATCCTTTCTCCAGGCTCAGTGAGAGGTGCAGCGTCCCTGATCCAGGGTCAGTGAGAGCTGTGGCGTCGCTGCTCCAGGGTCAGCGAGAGGTACGGCGTCCCTGCTCCAGGCTCATTGAGAGGTGCGGACCGAACGAACGGGCTCCACTGTCACGGACTCCGCCACCAGACCCACCTGGGCGATGGAGCGGCCGCCGCGGATGCGGAGTCGCTGGCCCGACGGTGGCGCCATCACGGCGCCGAACCTTGAGCGGGCAGCGACACCTGCCGAGCCAGACGGACCGAACCGCGCGAACTCCGAGATGTCGATCATGGGCGCCTGCACCCCTGCCAGGAGCATGCAGCGGTTACGGAACGGCCTGCGATTGGAGAGCGGTCGGAAATTACGAAACAGTTGCTGTGTGTGGGCGTGCTGGTATGTATCTGGGAGAATATGTTTCCTTTTGGTGTGAATGCTAATTTGCCAATGACGGACACGTTGGTCAGTCGATCGGCCATAGTGCGCAGCTTCTGGACGACCAGTCCCTTCAAAACGGCGACAAGATTCAGTATGAGGCATGGGCGCATCGATTCATATTTACCCGGGATGAGCTTCGGAAATAGTGGAGAACTGCTCTCAATGCAATTGTTTTCGGAAACACTGCCTTACGTGGAGATGCTGAACGCGTGCTGCGTGGTCCAGGAGCAGTATTACAAGGAATGTTTGTCGGGGATCCAGCCCACCATCGTGACAAACTGAGAGTCTCACGAGCGTGAAAAATTACAGAGCCCTTTAAAATTGACCGGGGACCAATGACGTCATGTGGTGGTGGTGATTTCATGTTTTAGGGCTCGTCGGCATCGGGCCATTTTGCGCTCCCCATGGCCTCAACGGCTTGAGCGTATATCACGGACCCATAGAAATGGCACAGCATAATGTATGTAGCTTTAAAGTTTGTCATTTTCAACAACAAAAAATGGGGAACCTGGTGACTGAAATTCCAGGACAGCGGTTCATGAGGCCGTATGGAGCTCAACACCAAAGCACGATCCCGTGAATCGGTGAGTTCCTGGGTCCGCTCCCGCTACATAAAAGGAAGGAAGGAGTGCATATTTTGCTCAACCATTTTGAGAAATTATCCCCATTGACTGCCGAGAACGTGTATCTGAATCATGTAAAATCGGGAGAATAGTGCTGAGCCACGTCTCAAAGGCGTAAAAAAGCTCATGACAGGAAACTTTTGTCAATCCCTAAACCATCCCTCACTGTGTACCTAATCGGCCATGACGACGTTGCGTCTGCGTTCCACAAACCAAACTACAGAGCGGCACTCCAGGATACACACACGCTCCAGTCAGCCCCCCCCCCCCCCCAACCCCAACCCCCTCTGCGTGCACATCAAGAGATCAGCCGTCTGATGGGCGCCCTGGCTGCGAGACACGCCTCATTGCGCAACTGCCCACGTGAAAATACCGCGCGCTCGCCAGAGCGACGTCGCTGACGTCACAGGCAGCGCCTGTTCGCTCGGCCGTGTCGGCAGCAGCTTGCGCCACTCACTGTCACGCTGCACGCAGCGAACTTTGTGCGGAAAGTCGCACTTCTCCGTGTGGCAGTTGAACAGCGTTCCCGGAGCGCAGCGCTGCACGTGGCCGCGGCCGTTCCAGCAGTTAAGAAACTCTCCGCACCTGCCGGTAACACAACCAGTGACGTCACACACTGCTCCGCGTATATGTACCGTCAGCCTGTGCAACAATAGGGTTTACGCTGCGCATGGCACGTGTTCTGGTGACGTCACACGTTCGTTTGATCTCCTTCGGTGCGAGCTGAATAAAGTAAAATAATTAATGGGAAAACATTCCGTTTATGAACCTACCACAAGCAACACCACCCCCACCCCCAACCCCCGCCACAAAAAGACCAAAATCATGAAATTTCGCGTTTCAACAAGTGCTATGTATACAAATGTTACTGCTGTAACTATGCTATCACTGTTGAAGCACCGGGCATCCGTGTTGTTACGCTCAATGTTCGGTGAGCAACACTGAGTGAGTGCGTCCCGAACGCGTCCCGTGGCGTCTGAGGCCGAGGCGCCGCCCTTCCGGAGGTCGGTCGGCACACACCTGCCCGGCACGGCGAACATGCCGGCCGGCAGCGGACACTGCGAGGAGACGCTGCCGTCCGGGTTGATGCTGGCGGTGGGACGCTCCATGACTGAGGGCGTCAGTGGAGGCAGCGTGGAGGCGGCGCTCACCTGGTCCACAGAGCCTGCGGCGGCGGACGGGGTCACAGGGGTCAGGGGTCAGGCATCGGAGCGGAGTATCACCTGGTCTGCGGAGCCTGCGGTCACAGACAGGGTCACAGGGATCAGCGGTCAGGCATCGGAGCGGAGGATCACCTGGTCCACAGGGCCTGCGGCGGCGGACGGGGTCACAGGGGTCAAGGTCAGGCACCGGAGCGGAGGATCACCTGGTCCGCGGAGCCTGCAGCCGCGGACAAGGTCACAGGGATCAGGGGTCAAGCACCAGAGCGGATAGTCACCTGGGCCGCGGTGCGTGCGGTCGCGGACAGGGTCACAGGGGGCAGGGGTCAGTCACAGACTACCGGCCTCGTCACAAAGGTCTGGTGCTGTGTCACCAGTCTCAGACTGCACAAAAAGGTCCGCGGTCACGCCCCGACCAGCCAGTGACATGTCGGATGTCGCATCACCAATCCCACGGAATCACGAGTCAATGTCGTACGCAGGTCATGCCCAAGGTCAAGCACAAGGTCAGCCGCCCCCTTGACGTCCACTTGGCACATGCCCGGAGTTGGCCTCATATTCCCTGTGACCTATTTCCTGGACTTACTGGCAGCAGAGCACCGCCTCCAGCTGTAAATAAACGGATCGTGCTCCACAATCAAAACAAGCGAAAAAACTGTCCGAGATGAATGCTTACTCAGGGTCACAATACCATGAGGATTGATATATATTTGGTCCCCCTCTGATCTGTTGCTATCCGGTCATGATTTCCACGTCATTATTTTTCTTCTTACTACATGATGCGAATACAGAGTAAAGCTTGTGCCTTAAATCGACACCAAGAACATGTCGCCTGTTATCACCCTGCCATGGATCTTACGAATGTCTTTCAACATCCCGCGGATCAAAATACTCCACAATAGACGCATATCACCGCTTCTAGTTACCACTTTATATCTAATATCCATAACCCATAACTAATATCCAAGTGGATCTGACGCCTCCGAACACTCTACGGAGCTCCACATCATTCGAGCGATCGCCGCCAGTTCTAACCAGCCGTCGATTCCATCAGCCTGACCCGAGTGGATCTCGCCACTCTTCAACGCCCTGTGAAACTCATCATCCTCACACCACTGTCTCTCGTCGCTCTTCATCACCCTCGAACCTCTTCACCCTCACGCGCAGCTGCTACCCTCACCGTCGTACAGCTCGAAGTCGTCGACGCAGCGGACCTCGTGCGGGAAGTTGCAGGTGGTGCTGCGGTAGTCGAACAGCGTGCCCGGCGAACAGGAGCGCACGTAGCCCGTGTTGAACGAGCACTCGAGGTACTTGCCGCATTGGCGCATGATCGGGAACCTGCCAACCGGGGGACTGCGTTGGTCCGAGACGCCGGACTCTTTCTGAGGGGCTGTGGAGTTGGTCACCAGCGCATGAGGACTTCCGGCCCCGCCCTCAGCGACATACCGAGCTGTGACGGCAACTTCCACATGAAGTAGCCACACATCACTGACATCCGCCGACAGTTCGACATCGTTTGGCGTCTGCATGCTCCTGCTGACAATGCGTGACATCTGGCGCATCGACACCGACGCGCGGTCGCACACCTACAGCACTCATCAGCCGGTCTGGAGCGCGAGACAGCGAGGCCGACCTCCACGAGGCGGTGACGTCTGACCTGCCGGTTGGCCGTGGACACTGCCGGCCCACGTTAGCGCCCATCTCCATGACGACAGGCGTGCCGTCCCGAGTGGTGACCGGCGACGGCCGGCTGCCCGCGCTGCGGAGGTCGCCACCAGATGGCAGCACGCCCACCAGCGGCAGGTTCGAGTTGCGCTGTTGCTCCCGCCGCCGCTGGTCGTACCTGGCGGTAACAGGTCAGCCGTCAGCTGAGAGCGGTGACTGGCCCTGACTGAACGACCGCTGACGGTCCAGTGTCAGTTGAGACAGCGCGAGTCTGGCTGGCGCACATCTGACGGATGTCGCTCGGTTCGGCTGCCATCCAGCCACCCCCGCTTCAGGCGTTCCATTTACTCGCCGGCTTAATCTCAAGGTTGCAGTTTAAGCGCTTTGGCCTAAATTTATTCACCATATGTGAGACACGGTGGGATTTAGTCAGTGCACCGCTGCTTAGTTTGTCATGCAAGCCTTCGCGATTCTGCGAGCATCCATATTTCTTGGTCATTCATCACCACCCAGGAAGTCCATTTCGCGACACCACAATCTCCTGTTGCCTTTGTGGCAGACAAACCCGGAACACCTCTCGCAGGAAGCACCGCCGTCGCGCTGCCTGAGGACACCGCACCCCGACACCGCACGCTGCGCCCACGCGTCGCGTCGCGCCACTGTCACTAGACTTACCGGAAGTTGCGCTGTGACTTCCGAGTGGTGATAACGGGCGTCAACTGCTTCTTCCGGTTCGGGTCTGCTCCCGGTGCGCGTGCCCCTCCGCCCCTGCACCGAACGAGGGGTCAGGTCGGGTCACTGATTACCCCCGCATGAACGGAGGGGATGCGCCAGGTCACTGATCGCCCCCGGGGATACATGAGGTTGCCTGTCACCTCAGCATGTGCAGAAGGTCACGTCAGGAAGTCACTAGCCGCCTTTTGATAATACTTCACGGTCCAGTACACAAAGTGATCGTGGCTTGCGTGGTGTTCTGTGTTGTTGCGCACGCGCTCATCTTGCCACGCATCTTCCGCTCTTGAGCCACAGTGGCAACTGCGCCGCAAACGCTCGGCCGATTTCAAAAGGAATGATAGTAGGATGCAGATCTGAACGAATTTCAAGGCACGCAAAATCTCAGCGAACATGACATGGCTGATTCATGAGCAGCAATCGTGCCAAATGTCCTGGCGGCAGTGTTTTCCGTTTAGACTCAGTGTCTTCCGGATGACTTAACATGCGACGTCACATAATGCCAGGGTGCGCTCGAAACAAACTGAAGCGAGACGCTTTAGGAACGTCGTCAACTGACAGTCATGCGGAGTACCTTGTGAGAAGTTAATCATCCTTTCCTGCCTCATCCTCTGTCCTTGACCTGGGTGTGTCGCTGCGCGACATGGCTGCACTCACCTGAAAAGGCTCTTCTGCTGCCGGGGGTTGTGCACCACCAACGGCGGTCTGGTGCTAGTGGTGGTGCGGTCCTTATACGACGGATACTCGGGGTTGTCAGGAAACAATATCTGGCAACAACACAAGACGGCATGTCAATGTGTTATGCTGATGTCTATGTAAGTACAATTCGGTTCATCAACGGGCTGAATGATGATACGCAAATTTAGATAGCGATTTCCCATGGCCGGATGCTTGTGAGCAGGGTTAACCTTTGTCAGCCTCGGTGGTTTTATCACCTTGCATAGCGTGCTAGGTGGCATATAACATATCCCCGTCACCGCACCTCAACCCTGATCTCCAACCCCAGCCCCAGCAATTCGCTCAGATGGAACATTATGATCAGGGAAGCAGCGAGTTGATGTCATGTACTGCATGCTCGCAAGAAAAAAGAGAACAGTAGAAAGAGCATCAGTTATACAGTTTTCTTTCGATGATTCTAAACGCAATATGATAATGGGCTGTCACAAAAGTGACGAAACGTCCAACGAAATAGGAGTTCCAAAACGAATGTTTTGGAGTCGATTCTTTCCATGCGTTTCGACAGCGTTAACACTCAGCTTTCTCGGAAGGTGGATGTCCACCACACCCACCGATCACCTTCTATCCCACGCCTATATCACGTCACGTTGAGTCATACCACCTCAAACAACTTTTGGAACATCTCACAGCTCATCATGTCGACGAGTTGAGCTGGCTGAGATCTGAGTATGTTGTCATTTACCTCCAAGGGGCGTTAACGTCATCTGGGGCCCCTGGGTCTCCATCACCACCTTGACATGGTCTGACCCGCGACATTGTCGGTGCAGTTATTCTGTGCTATCTTTAAAACCGTGACTTATGTGACCAAGGTCTTGTGTCACTTCCACCTAGTAATCTGCATGCGCATACAGCGGTACTTTTGGCGTAAACTCACATATGAATTGTGCTGCCATAAAAAGTCAGCATGTTTTGGCATGCTTTGCACTATGACATAATTTGATCTTGACATTGCGTGATCTTACTGTTACTATATACCAATAGTTGCGTTCTAGTTCAAAGTTTGTTAACTGCCAGGGTCTTTTTTGAGAGAGATGTGCGACATGGGATACGGAACGGCATTGCCTAAAATTACTCTGACAAAGCGCTGGGCACTGTCGATAAAAAATGGCTCAACCTGCAGCAAGATGCAACAAAACCTATGGCTTCCAGAACTCGACCCGCTTTTTATTAAAGTTATCGGGGAATAGGTCGCTATATGAATAGGAAGCTGCCTTAGTGTCATCCTGCAACAGTTAGCATAATGGGTCGGCATTCCGAAGGTATGCACATCATCACCCGTTGGTCGATCCAAATTTCCTGCCCAGCTGTAGTCCGTCGGCAATTCTAGCTCATCAAAGCTGAAAACGCTTGAGGAAAACTGCGCAACCTGCGCGAACATAGAATGATCCCAGCCATAAGAATCTAGTATTTTTGGGAACGTATTAAATCTTAATGCTTGTGAAAACCCTTTTCACCATTTCATTCTATTAGATATATATATATATATATATATATATATATATATATATATATATATATACATATATATTAGATATGGATCGACCTAGCTGTCAGATGTGAAATTCACGAAAAGTGCAATGAACCAGAGTGAAACCCACCATTTCTCCTCAAATCTATTCAAATCGCTAGCGGGCTTCGCTATAGGAGCGTGTTTGTTTCGTTTCCATGCATGGCTTGCTGCCATTTTATGTCGCGAATTGACCGGTTGACGGATTACGAAAACGGTTCCGGAGTAATATTTTCCCGGCTACTTTGATACACCTGACAACAGTCTATGGATTACGCTCCTGTTTGTTCTAGTTTTTGTGCATTTCAGATTTGATAACAAATCAGGTTTGTGCCTACTAATGTTGATGTGAAATGGTCGATGCAACCTCTTCACAGCCTCACTGTAGCTGTCGAAGCCACGAGAAGATAAGGTGCACAACCATAGCATTACATTCTTGAAGCGCTTATTTTCCACTATTTTGCTGTGCATACTATTGAGGACGAGGTCATAGCTCGGTAACTTGGAGAGTAATGATTGAAATTCACATTAGGCATAAAAAGGTTTAATAGCACACTAAGCAAACTTGATCGGGATCCGTTAAACGGTTCCGCACGTAGCGTGAAATGCTCGAAAGGCGACTTACGCCTAGCGACGGTTGACGTTCTAGTGCGGCGGCAAGTGGCCGCCGAACAAGCCCGGTGCTGACACTCTCAGCTGCTTGTCCCGTGCCCCCCCCCCCCCCCCCCTCCCTCTGCCCCTGGCTTGTCCGTGGGCAGTGCAGTGGCGGCTGCAGTGCAGTGCAGTGCAGTGGCTGCAGTGGCAGCTGCAGTGCATCACCAGTAATTGCGATGTGATGCAAACCAATAATGTGTCGAGCGACGATACGTTCTCGTGTCCGCTGACCGCTACCATTATCAGCTACTTTCCACGAACAAAGAGTCATGCAGTTGAACAGCACTAGCCGATTTCGGTCAGTTTGGTTGGAGACCGGAATTCCCGTGACGTCACAGTCAGTCTGTTTATGCTCCAGCAGAGTTCAATGTCGGTAACGCCGCCGGGTTCACTCTGTTGCAATCATCAAATTGACCCTGATGGCAACAATCAAGCGCAAGCCAGCCAAACTCGTGAGCCGTCATCGCTCTGTGTTTTAAAAACGATAGGAACGTTGTTTGACCGGTGCCCGTCTGTCACATCATATCACTCATGTTGAAAGTCATTGACTAATTTTACGCATTGGAATAATGTTGCACTTTGCGCGATAGCAGGGGGTATCGGTGGTCATATGGTGCATTATGTTCGCTTGCGAACTGTGAAAGGGCAACTAGCCATTGATGTACCTGAAATGACATTTTCAAAATAGTATTTGCATTCATGTAAAGCGACGTGGTCAAAAGACCAGCGGTTGCATACCCAGTACATTTGTAACATCCCTCCCTGCCAGACCTCTGTGACCTATGACCTCCGCTCCGGTCGAGGTCATGTCATTCGCCGTCTTGTCCATCAGCAGAGCAGACTGAAGGGGCGCTCTCAGCTGACACAATACTTGTGTCACACCGCGTCACAAAGCACAACTGTGGCGTGAATCAGCCCTCAGGACCGGTTATGCTTATCGCTCAGCGGGTCGCCGGTCACCAGGGCCTTCAGTGTCGCACGCAAGACGAGTCCCTGTCCAGCGAAGCGCGCTGGCGACATGTGCAGCGCGCGGAAAACGCAATCCAAAAGTAGCCGAGGATGAAAAAGAGGACAGGAAAACGGATCGTCGCAGGCGGGTGAAGGACGACTGGGACAGGAAACCGCTGCACGCCACATCGCTATCTGCAGCTGCAGCGATCGGCGTCAGCGAGCTCGGCTAAGGGAGCTACGAGCTAGCCGAGCTCAAGAAGAGACGAACTAGCCTCGTGAGGAGCGCTCTCGCAAACGCTCACCGGCTCGGCAGTCAGGACGGTGAAGAGCAGCAGCAGCGACAGCAGCGGCAACAGCAGCTTCACCCTCATGGTGGCACCCGTACGACCCAAGGTCACTGATCACCGCTCGCAGCACGGACACCGGTGTGACACGCGACCCTGACTGTCACCGCGTGACGACTGTGACGAACCGAGACGCGCCGCCCGCGCTCCACCACTGCTCTAGCCCACTCCAGCGCCTCCGTATAAATAAACACCTCGGGGCCGCGGGCAAAAAGAGGGTAACGCCTGCGTGTCACTCTCTGGTCACATTTTCCTGAATATAATGGGAGACGATACGCTAGTGCAGTGGGAAGGATATCAGTTAAAATTAGCTGTGCGTAGATTAGCCGGATAGTCTTGCATCGGTCTGGTACCACTGACGATGTGATATGCGTTCGTTAATCCAGGTTCAATTACATAAGCATAACTCAGAATTTCCTATTCATAAAACGTTTGGCAACGTGCAGGGTGTACGTATTGCGTTGTAGGTGAAACGATGGCCGCAGCAAACACAGCGACAAAATACTTATGACTTTACCGATTTTACATAAAAGTGTAAAATTACCAGTCGTTACCTCTTACCTCTTACCTCTACCTCTACCTTACCAGTCGTTACCTTACCTCTCCCGTCCACAACGTGTTATATATCACAAAATGATGCAAACGCTCAGTTCACATAAGTAGACAATGACACGGTGCGAACCTGTCATTTCAGAGTCGGAGAATATATAGTTTACCATGATACAGTACAGACACTCCTTAATCATGACTGGTAGCAGCAGAATTGTTGGCTTCATTCCCCGTTGATGAAGCTGAATCACGACTGCTTGCAACGTTTTCTTCGGGTGTGATTGAAATTTCTTTCAGTAGGTTCATTAATAATCATGGAATAGCGAGAACGCTTAATTTACACTGTGGTTAAGCGTATAGCGAAGAAAGTATAAATGCTGCCATTGATAACCCCCTGATCTGCAAATAAAATGCAAACCATTGATGCCTTACGCGGCAAGTAAGGCCCTTCACGTAAAATGTAGTGACCAGTGTGTCGCTTTAGTACAGGGGATAGGCTTAGCATTTTTTCTTTTTGAAGTAGCAGCTGTGAATTTAACTAGCTGAAGTTTCTGATATTTTGAGTGATAAGGATCTCGCAATGGCGCTCTACGACCAGGGTACGCACGTAGAGTGCAAGAAGTAAGCACGTGCTTGCCTACGTAGGTGTTGACTGCTAGTGAGATTAGAAAGGAAAACGTATGGCGATCGTCTGCATAAAGGACGGTGCGGTAAGTGTGTGCTTCCCGGTCGGTCAAATTAGCTGCTTGACCAGCGAGAGCTTCCTTACCATATGGCAAAGGTAATATCAGAACAGACCGGTGGAAGCAGACATGTAATTGCCCACGTTCGGACCGTTCTAGCCCCGAAAGCATTTTGAAATAAAAATTGAGAGACAGTGAACAGTGGCACAAAATCCTCGGCACCTGTTTATGCATGCATGAATCATATGCGCCCTGGATCGGTTGAAGGAGGGGGGGGGGGGGTGACATACCGGTAGCATGTAACAGATTTAGGCATGTACCGAAGACTGGATTTGAATATCCGGCGAGATACCGGATAAGCCGGACAATACCAAATACCTCGGCGAATTATCCGGCCGCACATTCTATCATGAGGCACTTCAGTGCAGGCATGCCTCATAGGAAGGGATGTTTGCTCTGACGCTGGTCCAAGTCCGTGTTGATTCTTGGCCAGGTAAAGATCTCATTTTTGAATTGAGCAGTGCCGTTCATGCCTTGTTCAAATATTTAATCATTTCAATTTCCCTGGTTCATACAACTTATCGTATGCCATCAGTGTCAGCCTGACAAAGCCCAGTTCAGTTTGTAAATCCAGACACGATCCCATCCGGCTCAGCTCATGATTGCCTCTTTATCTGGCCGGTTCTTCGGCCCGTATTCATTGGTATTATAAAACAAGGTGTAAAAATTGCACATAAAACTGGCATATTTTTGAACATCTCGCTCGTTTGCATGGTATGATATCACACCACACCGCGTGTGAACTTTGTCGTTAGCCTGCGCTGGCTTGACAGCACCGAACTCGTATTTAATGCGTGGACTGTGATGCAAGCTGAACAAGATTCAATATCTCGGATCCACTAATGCGTGGACTGTGATGCAAGCTGAACAAGATTCAATATCTCGGATCCACTAATGCGTGGACTGTGATGCAAGCTGAACAAGATTCAATATCTCGGATCCACTAACGCGTGGACTGCGATGCAAGCTGAACAAGATTCAGTATCTCGGATCCACTAATGCGTGGACTGTGATGCAAGCTGAACAAGATTCAGTATCTCGGATCCACCGGTTGACATGGATAATCCGGGCGGATTCCGGATAGCAGAAAACTTCAGTATCCAACCGGATTGTTCGAGCCGACAGTTCGACGGGACCAGACAATTCTTTAACAAAACCGAGATGAAAATGCCGGCGTTGAAATCTCTCATCTCGGTTAATATTATTCATGGCGCCATCGTGTCAGCCTGTATGATGTTGCGAGACTGAGATAGATGACCGAATCCATCGCGAAACTTGATGAACATTCGGTTGAATAGAATGTTTACCCACCAAACACAACCTAGGTGGTGTTCATTCTCCAACTTTTTCTCTGAAAGATGCCACAGTTTTCTCGAAACGGCCTTCTGGGCGTTGAAACACCAAAGCCTGATCCCGTTATAATTCAGTATCAGGTCTTCCTGTCCGTCCATAAAACTGTATAGACTAACGGGTCTGTGCCCCTTCCCCCCCCCCCCTGATTACCAGTCCGGCGGTGACTGACGGTGACTGCGTTATTCCTTTATTTTCTAAGGGGAATGCACACCGTCACGAACTTTTATGGAACGCGGCGACTGTTACTCATGCCGCGGTTGCCCATATGCAGAGACCGCAGCGCTGTGTCGCGCGCGCTCGGCGCTGTGACGCTGCGGAAGCACCTCTGCCGCTGTCCAGGATATCCTGCTCGAACTTGAGCTGTCGCAAACATCGAAGATCCGTCATGGATCATGCGCCGCGGCTCAGGGAGCGTGCTATGACTCAAGAATGCCTATCGGTACGCATAGAGGGCGGATTGGGGAGCGCCGTGGATTGCGGCAGCGACGCGACTCCTGTCAGCCAGCCTGTCCTCGCAAGCCAGGCTGTCCTCGCCAGTCAGCGCGTCCTCGTCAGCCAGCCTGTCCTCGTCAGCCAGCCTGTCCTCGTCAGCCAGCCTGTCCTCGTCAGCGATCCTGTCCCCGTCAGCCAGCCTGTCCCCGTCAGCCAGCCTGTCCTCGTCAGCCAGCCTGTCCTCGTAAGCCAGCCTGTCCTCGCGCGGCGTGGCTCTGCATGCTCTCAACGTCAGACGAGTCGTGACCGACGCATCCTGGAACAAAAGATGCCCCCCTGCGTCGTGATGGATGGGTGCCATGACCATGCCGTTTTCCGTTGGACGCGTCTTTTTATCAAGACAGAGGGAACTCCGGGTGACGCATACGCACCACATACGCCACATCTGCCTGACGTCCCTGCGTGGAAGCGGCCTCTGTTTGTGGTCTCAGATATCCACTTCTGGACGGCCTCCTTCCCCTGCTGGCCCAACGTGACTCAGGGTCTCGCGTGATGGTGAACCGCTGATTCGGGGCGCACAACAGGATGTCCGGTTTGGTCTTGGAAACGCTGCGGTTCAGCGAATGAATTCGGCTGATCCCGACTCTCGTGCTCACTGGAAGCCCTACGCACAAACTTAACAGCTGCATGAAAGTGTTCGTCGCGCATCGGTCAAATTTACGAGCAAAATGCCACCTGAATGTGAGATTCATTGTTCCAAAGATCGACACATGATTCGGTTGGTCTTGCGTCGTCTGTGAACCTAGGAAACTGTGAAAGAGCGCGCAGCTGTAATATAAACACGGAATATGTGTAGAGAAACACAATCTTTCGGCACTGGGACCATTAGCAGGATTTTGCGGCGTGCCAGAGATTTCGTGTTCGACATTTTTAGTGTCTGTGACATGAAATGACGGTAGTGATCGGTAACAAAGTCGGCTTTGGAAAGCCCGGATGTGGCCACAAGGACCGCAAGCTGGCCCCAGCTACATGCAGAGAAAGCAAAGCTGGGGGATGCTCCCCAATAGGTGCGTCAAATAGCCACGGGAGACGGACAGCTGTGCAGACGATGTGCGGAAATGCAGACCTTTTCCGAAGTGATTTTGTCACCCACCACCTCTCGTGTGCACGCGCGTTCGTGCCACACGTGTTGACGCACGAAGTGAGCGAGCAGACTTGGGACAGTGGGAACATTCGAGGAGGTCAGGCCAGTTTGTCCAAGGTTTGTCCAGTTGCAAGGCTTGCACACGAAATCCTAGGCGGCAGCTTTGAAAGCAGGTAAAAGTGGCAAGTGAGACGGTCGATCTGGATGGTCGCGGCTGAAAAGCGCGCGAGGCATGGCGTCGTTGGCGTTATGAAGAGGACTGGATATCTTTCGTACGGTATATAAATCACGTGGTCTCGTTAAGACATTGCTGCAACTGACTTGTGGTTGCAATGCATGTCGTTTATCGCATTTTATCATTTGACTCCGAGCAGAGGAAGGATGCAAGGAAGGGGCCTTCCTGAGATAATGCATCTGACGAATGTGCCAATCTGGACAATCTCATCCGAAGTGTAATTTAAAGTTCAAGGTGGACCAGCCGTCCATCAAAATAGTGTCCGAGGATGATGATTTCGAAAAAAATGTAATTTTAGTATCAGATAACTGATATCTACATTTAATAAGCCCAGTCACTACTCGCATAACTCCATTCTCACAGTCGAATCGAAGAAAGAAGATGATCGTGGGTAGACATTGTGTGTCTGCTTTACATACGTTAAGATGAATGATAATTTGCGGGACGACAGAATGATGCTGGAAGTAAAAAATATAGCATGTTTCTCCCCTGTCCTTCCAATTTTTACCTTAGACTTCGAGAATTTCCTGAATTTGAAAATTTTGAATCTAATTGACACATCTAGCATGAAATAAGTGTGCACAGACTCACATGCCAGGGCCGTGTGCAGCTCTGCCAGATGTCACCGTCAGATGTCACCGTCAGATGTCGCTGTCAGATGTCACCGGACCACAGGACGAGGTCTGCCAGATGTCACCAGACCACAGGCCGAGGTCTGTCAGATGTCACCAGACCACAGGCCGAGGTCTGTCAGATGTCACCAGACCACAGGCCGAGGTCTGTCAGATGTCACCGGACCACAGGACGAGGTCCGTCAGATGTCACCGGACCACAGGCCGAGGTCTGTCAGATGTCACCAGACCACAGGCCGAGGTCTGTCAGATGTCACCAGACCACAGGCCGAGGTCTGTCAGATGTCACCAGATCACAGGCCGAGGTCTGTCAGATGTTACCGGACCACAGGCCGAGGTCTGTCAGATGTCACCAGACCACAGGCCGAGGTCTGTCAGATGTCACCGGACCACAGGCCGAGGTCTGTCAGATGTTACCGGACCACAGGCCGAGGTCTGTCAGATGTCACCAGACCACAGGCCGAGGTCTGTCAGATGTCACCGGACCACAGGACGAGGTCCGTCAGATGTCACCGGACCACAGGCCGAGGTCCGTCAGATGTCACCGGACCACAGGACGAGGTCTGTCAGATGTCACCGGACCACAGGACGAGGTCTGTCAGATGTCACCGTCAGATGTCACCGTCAAATGTCGTTGTCAGATGTCACCGGACCACAGGCCGAGGTCTGTCAGATGTCACCGTCAAATGTCGTTGTCAGATGTCACCGTCAGATGTCACCGGACCACAGGCCGAGGTCTGTCAGATGTCACCGGACCACAGGCCGAGGTCTGTCAGATGTCACCGTCAAATGTCGTTGTCAGATGTCACCGTCAGATGTCACCGGACCACAGGCCGAGGTCTGTCAGATGTCACCGGACCACAGGCCGAGGTCTGTCAGATGTCACCGGACCACAGGCCGAGGTCCGTCAGATGTCACCGGACCACAGGACGAGGTCTGTCAGATGTCACCGGACCACAGGACGAGGTCTGTCAGATGTCACCGTCAGATGTCACCGTCAAATGTCGTTGTCAGATGTCACCGGACCACAGGCCGAGGTCTGTCAGATGTCACCGTCAAATGTCGTTGTCAGATGTCACCGTCAGATGTCACCGGACCACAGGCCGAGGTCTGTCAGATGTCACCGGACCACAGGCCGAGGTCTGTCAGATGTCACCGTCAAATGTCGTTGTCAGATGTCACCGTCAGATGTCACCGGACCACAGGCCGAGGTTTGTCAGATGTCACCGGACCACAGGCCGAGGTCTGTCAGATGTCACCGGACCACAGGACGAGGTCTGTCAGATGTCACCGTCAGATGTCACCGTCAAATGTCGTTGTCAGATGTCACCGGACCACAGGCCGAGGTCTGTCAGATGTCACCGTCAAATGTCGTTGTCAGATGTCACCGTCAGATGTCACCGTCAAATGTCGTTGTCAGATGTCACCGGACCACAGGCCGAGGTCTGTCAGATGTCACTGGACCACAGGCCGAGGTCCGTCAGATGTCACTGGACCACAGGCCGAGGTCCGTCAGATGTTACCGGACCACAGGCCGAGGTCCGTCAGATGTTACCGGACCACAGGCCGAGGTCCGTCAGATGTTACCGGACCACAGGACGAGGTCCGTCAGATGTCACTGGACCACAGGCCGAGGTCCGTCAGATGTCACTGGACCACAGGCCGAGGTCTGTCAGATGTTACCGGACCACAGGCCGAGGTCTGTCAGATGTTACCACCAGATGTCGATGGGCCACGGACTGAGATCCAGAGCCGCTCCAGAACCGACGGTCAGCAGTGGCCGTGCCAGTCCACCAAAGCCGCGCCAGTCCACCAAAGCCGCGCCAGTCCACCAAAGCCATGCCAGTCCACCAAAGCCGCGCCAGTCCACCAAAGCCATGCCAGTCCACCAAAGCCGCGCCAGTCCACCAAAGCCATGCCAGTCCACCAAAGCCGCGCCAGTCCACCAAAGCTGTGCCAGTCCACCAAAGCCATGCCAGTCCACCAAAGCCGCGCCAGTCCACCAAAGCCGCGCCAGTCCACCAAAGCCATGCCAGTCCACCAAAGCCGCGCCAGTCCACCAAAGCTGTGCCAGTCCACCAAAGCCGCGCCAGTCCACCAAAGCTGTGCTTGTCCGCCTCAGCCTGATCAATGATTGTTCATGTTCTCCCGTTAATAATTGAAAAGGCATAGGCAATAACACGGCGAAAAATAGCCTCAACCTCGGCGCCCGACTCATGCATACCATGACCATGAACATGCACATACGCACCAACCGAGTGATGCTGAGATGAAATATCGCCGCGGCCAAACTCCGACCACTCTCATGTCCCTCAGGCTGAGATGAGGGAACACCTAGGCCGAACCACGACCACTCCCGTGTTCCTCAGGCTGAGATGAGGGGACACCTAGGCCGAACCCCGACCGTTCCACATGTCCCTCAGGCTGAGATGAGGGGACACCTAGGCCGAACCCCGACCGTTCCGCATGTCCCTCAGGCTGAGATGAGGGGACACCTAGACCGAACCACGACCACTCCCGTGTTCCTCAGGCTGAGATGAGGGGACACCTAGGCCGAACCACGACCACTCCCGTGTTCCTCAGGCTGAGATGAGGGGACACCTAGGCCGAACCCCCACCGTTCCACATGTTCCCCAGGCTGGGATGAGGGGACACCTAGGCCGAACCCCGACCGCTCCATATGTTCCTCGGGCTGAAATGAGGGATACCTCGGCCGACCATCGACCGCTCCCATGTTCCTCCGCACGATGGCGATGGAGAGAGAGAGAGAGAGAGAGAGAGAGAGAGAGAGAGAGAGAGAGAGAGAGAGAGGGGGGGGGGGGGGGTGCTGACGGCGCGATCAGCGCGTCGATGACTTCTCAGGTTCTGGGGAAGTCCCGTCTGTGATTCCTTCCTGTGATCCCTTCCCTCACCGAACCCATCGGCAACGATCTGACCACAATGCAAACTGCCGGCTGGCCCTGTCCACGCCTTGAGTTCAGCTGACGGCGCGTTACATAATCAGCTTGGGACACATCCTACCCTCATCCGAGACCGTTTTGCCAGTTTTTGACCGACACCGGCGGGTGGTTTTTCCAGAAAACGAGAGCGGGCAGTGCAGCCTCCGCCTCGCAGGGGGCGGTCAGCACCGGACGAGCGCGGCAGGGGGAGAGGGGGGGGGGGGCGTACTCAGTACCACTGGCGGCGCCTGCTGTATCACTGCCTGTGGTGCAGGCGGCGGCGCTGGCGCCACCAGCGGTGCTGTAAACAGCGGTGCTAAACAGAGCCGCACACGACGGCAGGGCCGGGTGTAGCGTGTCCGCCCATCATCCAGGCATCGCATCGCCCCAGCCCGTCGCAGGGTCAGTGCGCGAAAACTCTAGCTGATGGCCGACGCCGAAACAAAGGTCCGTTCCATGTCAGTGAGCTGTTCCAAATAATACAACTTATAGGGTGTTTATATGTCCTACGTGGCGTCCGCTTGTTGCATGTGACGTCAGGCGTGGTTTTCTATTCAGTTGGGGGGGGGGGGGGTCGTCCTCCAATTTGAGCTGCAGCCCCGTTCCCCAACAGTGAGGAAAAAGTGTGCCAACTCGATAAGAAACCATGTTGCTGGCGTATGTTGGGGACAGATGGCATCCTTTTCACAGTTCAGCCTCCCCGCAATTTATTTTGCGAGAATACGCCCATCTGTGACGTCCCATATCGCAAAATCAATAACAAATGGTAAACCGTGAAAGGCGATTGCAGTTCTATCTGGCAGCATTACCGCTTCATCATTGTCGAACACTTCACGCTGCGCACGTCATATTCGTGAAAAATATTACGGCATAATTGGCGCGTGCCCGATCACATTGCCATCCTTTGCTTCAGCACTTCCAAATTTAAAAGACGTCCGACCGCAGGCAGTCTGTATTGACAGCTACCTGTAGCATCACCTTTGCTTCCGCACAGAGCGGGGCACACATCAATGAACCAGCAGCGCACGCACAGAGCGAGGGCACACATCAACGAACCAGCAGCGTAACATCCGCACCCACAAGCCCGCAGTCCGCAACGGCACCTACCGGTCTGACCCTGTTATTCCAGAGTCGGCACCGGGCCAACGACACGGACAGCGCTGTGCGCCAGCGCACAACCCTCAGAACAGTCACAACGGCGGCGCACACGTGCGCTCTCAGAGTACGGCACTTCGACACACGACCGGAGGGACGTTGCGTCGCGGCTCAGCAGAAGACGCAGCGCCCCAGGACCATGGGATGGGGTAACGAGCCAGCTGACCCTCGCAAGTTTGATAAGAAATAACGCTCTAGTCCTATATAACGCTGCCAGACTAGGATGGCTCTGAAAAGCGCTTTCCCGTCCCCCACCCTCCTGAGAGGCTCCCATGTCACTGGCCGAAGGTGAGGTTCGTCTGCAACCTGGCTCATTCCTACGATCGTCTCAACACACTGGCCACACCAAATGACTGGCATCGCCCTGCATACAATCGCACAGAGCACGCTTCACCTGGACAACATGCGCAGATACCGCCACTCGACCGCGTCGATCTACCTAGTCACGCACACACGCACACGCACACACAGAGCGACTACTTGGCGTCCGACGCCGGCTTGCCCTCGTTCAGCTTCTGCTCGAACTTCTTGAACTCGGACTCGGCTATCTCGTCCGCTTCATCGGTGACCTGCTCCACGGAGACCACCTGAGGGGCCGCGGCCGTCGGTCAGCGGTGCTGTCTGACCACGGCACTGGGCAGCGGCGAGTCGCCGCGGAGCCGGAACACAAACGGTCGTGTCCGGGCTGGTGGTGCAGCTGGGTGCGGGACGGGGGCATACCAGAGGCAGCGTGACATTGATGGGGATCGTAGGGGAGGTTCTCTCGTAAGACCGTATGGGACGATTAATAGCTAAAAGGTGCACAATTCAAAACGCTCCCTCAGTTTCCCTTGCACGAGGGTAAAATGCCAACGCACATTCACAAACAATTCTAATGCGCTTCAGATGCTGGACTGAATATTCATCATTGGCTGGTAGAAGCGGTAAGCATTATTTACGGGACAACGGAAACGGTGTCTGGATGCGACGCCGCAGCAAGTTCAAAAGGCACAGCCAAATGGTTTTCGGCACCATCTCCGAGCCCTGACCCACTCAACTGCCTGGTTACCGAACTGTGGTAACTGCCATTTCGGACGACGTATATATTTAGATAAAAAATACTGCGTCGCCACATAACTGAAAAAGACACGCCTACGGGAAGCCCTTACGCCACCGTTCCATTCAGTTCCCACCATACCCACCTCGGGGACGTAGAACTGCAGCATGTTCTGCACGCCGTTCTTCAGTGTTACGACCGAGCTGGGGCAGCTAGTGCAGGAGCCCTGCATCTTCAGCTTAACCACACCATCGTCGAAGCCCATGAAGACGATGTCGCCGCCGTCCTCCTGCACAGTGGGCCGGATCCGGGTGTCCAGCAGCTCCTTAATCATCGCCACCACCTCGTCATCTTCCGAGTCGGTCTCCTCTCCTGGGGAATGACGGAGGCCCAGAGATGGGAACAGCCCATAGAGCTGCTACACTCCCCCTGTTGACTCGCTTTCATGCCGCATTTCACCAGGGCTGACCCACCTTCTCCAGTCGCCGACAGAGCAACTTCTCCAAACACAAACAGGGCAGACCCGCCTTCTCCAGCCATTGCCAGGGGAGACCCATCTCCTCCAGTCACCAACAGAGCACAGACCCACCTTCTCCCGCCACAACCCGGGGAGACACACCTTCTCCGTCATCAACAGGGCAGACCCGTCTCCCACAGCCATCACCAGGGTTGACCTACCTTCTCCAGCTTCAGCGGCATATGCTGCCTGGTGCACCACTGGCAGACCAGAGGTAAAAAAGTCCATGATGGTGGCGAAAATCTCCGGCTTGATCACTTTCCACTCTACCTCGTCATCCACCTGAAGCAGGATATTTCACGAACTGAGCGGCATCCCGACATGAAGATAAGAACAACCACTCATGGCTGGTAGGCCAGCCTAGCACTGGCTGGGCTGCGATGTGTTCTGATGCGTTTCTTTCCGAGTCCATGCATTCCCTCAGTGTCGGAGCGCTGCAACGGTGGGCTTGCCACAGCCCAGCCGATGCTACGAGCAGCGAAGCCACTCCAGCGGGCGGGGCGGTACCGCGGCCTTCGACGGCAGCCTGGCCTACCTTGGTGACGGTGATGAAGGTGGGCGCCAGGAACACCGACTTCACGCCGGGGATGCGGAACAACAGCTTGGCCAGCGGCGAGTGCTGAGCAGTGGCCACCGTCGGGAAGTCCAACGTGCCATACTCCAGCACCTGTGGGCCGCGCACGGTACAGCGGGGGGTGAGCGCTGGATCGTGGTCAAGGTGGTGAAGCCCACAGCATCGGACGAGAGGTGAGCGTTGGGCCGTGGTCAAGGTGGTGAAGTCCATAGTGCTGGACGATAGGTGAGTGTTGGACCGTGGTCAAGGTGGTGAAGCCTACAGTACCAGACGAGAGGTGAATGTTGGACCGTGGTCAAGGTGGTGAAGCCCACAGTACCGGACGAGAGGTGAGTGTTGGACCGTGGTCAAGGTGGTGAAGTCCACAGTACCGGACGAGAGGTGAGTGTTGGATCGTGGTCAAGGTGGTGAGGCCCACAGTACCGGACGAGAAGTGAGTGTTGGACCGTGGTCAAGGTGGTGAAGTCCATAGTGCTGGACGATAGGTGAGTGTTGGACCGTGGTCAAGGTGGTGAAGCCCACAGAACCGGACGAGAGGTGAGCGTTGGACCGTGGTCAAGGTGGTGAAGTCCATAGTGCTGGACGATAGGTGAGTGTTGGACCGTGGTCAAGGTGGTGAAGCCCACAGCACCAGACGAGAGATGAGCGTTCGACCGTGGTTAGGGTGGTGAAGCCCACAGTACCGGACGAGAGGCTAGCGTTGGACCGTGGTCCAGGTAAGGAGCCCACAGCACCGGACCCACAAATTTCTGGGGCCACATAGGCTGACAAGTTAAATGCATAACTTGTGTAGGTGAGTGACAGGCTGTCCTGCTAAACAACTACATGCCATATCACGACAAGGAAGCATGGCGAGTTTCACTCATGCACATTTAGAAGACAGCATTGACCAGATGCAAATCAATATCAACATTGATCAAATGCACATCATGATCACCATGGATCAGATGCACATCACTATCATCACTGAATGGATGCAAATCATTATTATCATTGATTGGATGCACATCACAATCATCATTGATTGGATGAAAATTGCTATAATTGATCAGATACACATCAGGGAGGGGCTCGGGACGTACCGTTTTTCCCGGCAGGAACTTCAGACTGTTCGGATTTGGCGTATCCTGAGTCTGGATAAACATGGTCCGAGCAGACAGGTTTAGCAGGCTGGCCGGAGGAGGGCACAGCTGGGGCCGGCCGAAGGCCAAGGCACTGAAAAAAAATGCACACAGCGCTGATAAATGGATGCAAAAGGGTTGAAGAACAATATGCAAAGTGCTCCTTTGCTTAGTGATTCAAATCAGGGTAATTATTTCAACTCACAAGTGGATCACTGAATTGCTCTTTTCTTATGGTCAAATGCCAGAGCTCATAATGAGTTGGCATAAATATTTGGTTTTAGTAATACCTGACACAATTTTTGACCTGAGGTTATACAGTGACTGTCACAAGTCAGGTAACCAAAGCTGCATACAAATGATGGTGATCACTAGCTGTTGTCAGATTTGGACTTGATGCATTACTGACAAGAGCAAGAGCATTGGAGTAATGTGTGGCAGTGTTTTTTATTCTAATTGCCTGGAGGATATATGGTGACCTTTAGAGGTCAAGTTGGTTAACATGGATGCACCTGATGCCATAGCAGCACACAGCTCTCTTCAGATTTTGATTCAGTGCATTACTGGCAGGGCAATGTAGGACTGGGACTGCAAAAATGCATCCTCTTGTTGGCCCAGCAGCAAGGTACCTCATCCAGTGAATTCCAGTACACTTAGAGTTTGGCACACCATGCTGCTAGGGCATATAGAGCCAATATTTCAAGGAATTATGATGCTGAGAAGGAAATTACACAACATTACCAAGAAACTATCTTTTAAGTTGAAGTAATCTGAAAATTCAGCACACTGGTGTCCAGGCCTGAAATCAGTCAACCCAGCAACAGGTCCGGTGCATGGAATGTCAGGGGTATTAGGAAGCCCAGGCCAGGATGTCATGTGTCTGGCACAGTGCACATAAAGGTGGTGTGCAACCAGTTTTGCCTCTAGTTGCCTGGAGGCCCTTAACAGGATGCTTATGGCACCTGATGACTATCTTCATGGCAGGCACATGGCCATCTTCAGATTTACATTTGCGAATTACTGACTTGGTCATGCCTGAACACAAATTTATGGCAGACAAATATGAATGCATTGCTGACTGCAGACATACCACGTCTCACAGGCCGGGGTCCTGCAGGGCCAGTAAACAAGATCCACACACCTGTGCCATGTGAGACGTTCTCCAACAATGGTGTGATACTGTGAGAGTGCAGACAGATGCCGGACAGCCGGCATCACTCTCCGACTGCAGAGGCGGCAGGCCGGCCACATGGCCAGTAGGTGGCGACGCCTGGATGATACTGTAGCAGCTCAGCTCCTGCCATCAGTTGTACCATTACATGTGCAGCCACATGGCAGTTCCATCTGTTTCAGCAGCCCAGACTTGCCAGCTAGCCATCAGCCCCAACAGGAAGGTGAAAAAGATGCTGCGGAGAAGGTGCACCTGCGCCCGCAAAGTGCAAAGCTGCATCACTGTTCGCTGTTAGCCGCGAGCTGTTACACCGCTACCAATTGACTTGTATCCTCAGGCCAGTGCTCATCACGATTTACCTAGCCCGTAGATGTCAATCGCGCTCCCCCAGCCCAATACCCGACCACCCACCTCCTGTGATTCCCCTACGTACCTGGCGACCCACTTCCACACCCACAGCCTAACTTCGACAACCACAACTTCGCACTCACGATTGAGTCGTGCTCGATGTAATCATCCACAACAGTCCATAATCCTGTCCAGAGACCGCTTCTATAATGCTGAAGGTCTCATAGTTAAAATTAATCCAATGAATATTTGTGTGATTTGCGTTTGGCTTGTTTTGTGCAATTTGATTAGGCACTGCCGGCAATAAATGCACACGAAGAAACAATCGAACACAATGCAAAAAGGTTGCTGTTCTGGCGCAAAAGTGCCGTCCTGTGGCGCTTGCCGCAAGCGGAATATTACAAACATTCAGTGAGGCCCCGCGCTACGTTGTATGTTCGATGGAGGATTGATAATTGCGACGGGCTTTGACTCCAACGATTTGTAGGTGCAAGATTGCCTTTTAATTGTGGGTGAGTATCGGATGTAGGGTTGTTCACATTATCGGGTTTTGGGCAGTTAGGGTTGAACGTGTTCGCCTCCAAGATATTAGTTACATATTGGGTTAATTTCGTGTTTTTCTAACCATGTATATCCTGTGATTTATTGTGAGGCCTTAGATCATGCAAGTAAATAGCTTTTACCTCAATATATGCACGAGCTGCCCAAAATGAAAGATGTATCCTGCTGCCCTGCCAAGATCTGATCAAGATCTGCCTCAGTTTGCAGACCTTTCATTGGGCATGAAAATTGACCTTCATTGTCTTCAGTTTTACAAGCAAAGCTAATTTTGTGCCTGTTTGTGCACATTTATGACTTGTTTGATATTGGATACACATAAGGCAGGATGCAAAAGACTATTAAGCCATGGCACAAGGCTGGGCACTGCATTACTGTTTCAATATACTGCTGTGTGAGAAGCTGTATGACATGGAAGTATCTGTGTGAATGTGTTGATAGTGTTAAACTATGTTTAAGGTGGCAAAAAGTTAAACTTTAACCAGTTTAAGCATGTTGTTTTGCTGAACCCCATTTAAAAAGTTAACCAGCAGTATCTGATCACATTCTTCAAGTTAACCAGCAGACAATTTTCCCTATGGACACAGTCAAGAGAGGGTTTCCCTGGGCCCTGGCAGAGTGTTGAAAATTGTTTTGATGTGTGCTCATTGAGCTTCAGGCCCTCATGAGAGCATCCTGCCTGCTCTCCTGGTTGTTGTACTGGAGGACATGTGAGAGGGCAGTGTGAGTATGGTGCAGAATGAGCTGGTGAGCTCTTTTCAGCATGTTGAGACCTGGCTAGATAATCACTTCTATGTAATACAAAAGCATATGACTTAAGGATGAACTTCTTTGATTTGTATTTTGCAGGAAATGGACACCCAGAAGTTCTCCCTCAGATGGGATGCATTCCAGAGCAGTGTTACTTCACTGTTTGACCACCTCCGACAAGACGAGGAGCTGGTGGACATCACCCTGTGCTGCGAGGGACAGAAAGTCAGGGCACACAGAATGATGTTGTCTGCCTGCAGCCCGTACTTCAGGGAACTTCTCAGAGTGAGTAAGGTGTGATGGTGCTGCATATGTTCTGAAATCATTGCTTATTGACTCTGTTGTCTTCACTCAGCCATTTCCAGAAACTGTCAAACAGGTGCTCAGGTGAAGTGATTGTCTTGAACATGTGCTTCTTTCCATTGAAACAGCAGTGGCAGTGCACAAAATATGTAGGGATTATGCTGTGATAGTGATTGAAGGAAAACAGTAAAGTTATGATGGAAAATGATGATTCCAACTCATATCACTGCTTAGTTCTCATGCATGGGTGCCCATGTGATACAACATGGGTATTGTGATATTGAAATATATGGTGATAAAGGAGAAAATGCACCCTTAATAAGGTCCATGTAGTAATGAGTGGTATCAACCATACAAGCTGGGTGTAAGCCACCATGGGGTGAGCTTGCCAGTAGTATCATATTATTGCAAGGTGAGCTTGCATGCAGTATCATGCCATCATGTGTTGGGCCTCCCTGTGGCATCTCTACAGTACCATGCTGTCATTAGGCACTTCCCTCGCACCAAGCATTCTCGGCTGTTTCAAATAGCTGATTTGTTTACTGAAACTTCTTTTATCAATGTGTATATATGTGTACATCTGTGCACCATGTGTTTTTCCTGTATGACTAGGTGCAGGAACTACGAACGTGTAAATGCACCATCAATGGAATGAATGTAAATGTTGAAATTTATGACGTAAATAGGGCGCAGGTCTTCTATTAATAACTAGGCATCCCTCTGATGTAAAGCGACCAGCACACCAAAATCGAACGTAACGTACGAGAAAATGGGCCTTCCTTTGCAGATGATCGCACCGCTGTGATGTTTTGCAGAAACCGTGACAGAAGCAGGGCGCCCTTTATGAATAGGCGCCCCTCTGATGTGAAGTGGGAAATGCGACGCAATAGGGGTTCCCTCTCTTCATATGAGACTGACGCCCCTCTGTCACTAAGAAACCCGCGATGTGGTCCTGGAGCTCCCCGATATCTGTGCGCTCGTGTTGGCTTTTCGTGAACTGGTGACTGTAGGATAAGCTTCAGTTGGCTAGGAATGTTTGCTCATGTACAAATCAGAACTGAAATATCGATATCGACCAGATCTGACAGATGTGTTCCATCTCCCCCTAGAACAACCCATGTCAGCAGATGGTGTTCTTCCTGAAGGACACGTCGGCCGCCGACCTACGGGCCATCATAGAGTTCATGTACAAAGGCTGCGTGAACGTGGCCCAGAGCCAGCTGGCCAGCTTCATCAAGACGGCAGAGATGCTACAGATCAGGGGTCTCAGTGGCGATGATGATAAGGTGAGGCACACGAGCGTGCTGGGGAGGGGCATAGGGCTACGATGGACTGCTGGTCTGGTCCCCGTGCTGAGAAGGGGCAGTAGGGGTTACGATAGACTGCGGGCCTGGTCCCCGTGCTGGGGAAGGGCATAGGGGTCACGATAGACTGCGGTCTCCTTACATATGCTTCACTTGCAGAGATAGTGGGATGCTGTAAACTGAACTACCTTAGTTATGGACTACCTCGCCTAAGCTACTTTTAACCGCCTAACCTATCGTAAACTACCTAACCCAGCATAAACTAATCGATCTACCGTAACCTGCAGACCCTGGCGTAAACTACATACCCTACGGCAAACTACCTAACCTACCGGGAGCGAGGCGCTCTCTTGAGCATTGATCGCATGTCTTAGCCGATGCACTGTGACCATCTTCGTTATGTGATGTTGTTCTGTCTCCAACGTATGAGATAGAACAACTGTGCGTGCTTATGTGGCCCCTGCGTTTCCAACGCCAGGTGTCTCCGTGAATCTCCGCTAGTCCTGCTGGGGGTCACGAAGGCACGAGGAGCTCGTTCGTCGCACGCTCACGTGATCCATTGGTGGACCGTGCCGTACATTCCCTTCTCGCTGCATTCCGTCATGTTGGTGTCACGCCTATGTACTTCCTCGTAATTCTTGTTTCTTTTCTCCACGCGCGCCCGTCCACGTGATGTTCGCGCCGCGGCCCACAGCACGTGTTCCTCTCTCACCCCGTGTTCATCACTCCTCGTGAGATTACGCTGACGTCACACCCCACGTCCTCATGTTCCTCCCGCGACCGTTGCCATGACGGCCTCCTCACAGCCCTCACCACTGTGTTCGGTACTTGTCGTGCCGTCTTGTCCCTCACGGTCGGCACCCGCGTGTTCCAGCCGTGCTCGTCGCCGGGTGGCGGTGCTCCGCCGCCACCGTCGGCCGCCGACGCCGCGCCGCCGCCGGCCAAACGACGCCGCCGCTCGGGCTCGCCGCGGCTAGCGGCGGCGGCGCCACCGGTCCGAGCCGAGGCAAGCCTGGCTGACGGCGCCACGCCGGCCGCCGGTCCAGTGCCGGCGCCGACGGGCGCGGCCGGGCCGCCCTGCCGCCGCCAGCCGCCGCCGGCGCCACCGTCGGCTGCTGACCCTCCGCCTCCGCCGCCGCCGCCACCGCCGCCGCCGCCGCCTCCGCCGATATCCTACCCGCCGGCGCCGGCCGCCGCCTCGCCGCAGCCGCCGCTGGACGTGAAGGTGGAGAAGGTGGACCTGACGGAGGATGATGACGGTGACGTCAGCCTGGACGCCACGCTCGGCTATGTGGCCGAGTACGAGGGCGGCTACGGCGAGCCAGACCTCTCCGTCAGCGCTATGGGGAGCGGCGGCGCCACGGCGGCAGCGGGTGAGTTAGCTGGTGAATGGCGACGCTGACTGGGCTATATGGCGGGCGGATGCGCATGTGCTGCATGTTGGATTACGGCGGTCTTCTGTGGCTGTGACAACCCACCGGAGGGTGATTTGTGAATAACTAGACAAGGGTTGATTGTAATCTGAAGTGGAATCAGGGAAAGTGCGGGGAATTAACTGACTTTTCCAAGACTTAAAAAGAAACACTAGCAGAGTAGCTTTCCCACCGTGAATCAGCACGTCCGCTTCTGCGACGGCGGTCGTGTTCATGGTTCATGTGCGACAGCTGGTCTGGTCATATCTTGCATTGGCATTTGATAGCGCATGTGATCCAAGCCTCGCGCGTCCGACGAGCGCGGAACTGCTGTCCTGCCGTCGGCCCTGGACTACTGTCAGACTGGTGTTGGCTCGTCACTGACGGCTCTCCTTGACGGCGGGCCTGGACTACTGTCAGACTGGTGTTGGCTCGTCACTGACGGCTCTCCTTGACGGCGGGCCTGGACTACCGTCAGACTGGTGTTCGCTCGTCACTGACGGCTGTCCTTGACGGCGGGCCTGGACGACCGTCAGACTGGTGTTCGCTCGTCACTGACGGCTGTCCTTGACGGCGGGCCTGGACTACCGTCAGACTGGTGTTTGCTCCTTACTGACGGCTCTCCTTGACGGCGGGCCTGGACTCCCGTCAGACTGGTGTTCGCTCGTCACTGACGGCTCTCCTTGACGGCGGGCCTGGACTCCCGTCAGACTGGTGTTCGCTCGTCACTGACGGCTCTCCTTGACGGCGGGCCTGGACTACCGTCAGACTGGTGTTCGCTCGTCACTGACGGCTCTCCTTGACGGCGGGCCTGGACTACCGTCAGACTGGTGTTGGCTCCTCACTGACGGCTCTCCTTGACGGCGGGCCTGGACTACCGTCAGACTGGTGTTCGCTCGTCGCTGACGGCTCTCCTTGACGGCGGGCCTGGACTACCGTCAGACTGGTGTTCGCTCGTCACTGACGGCTCTCCTTGACGTCAGGCCTGGACTACCGTCAGACTGGTGTTCGCTCGTCACTGACGGCTCTCCTTGACGGCGGGCCTGGACTACCGTCAGACTGGTGTTCGCTCGTCACTGACGGCTGTCCTTGACGGCGGGCCTGGACTACCGTCAGACTGGTGTTCGCTCGTCACTGACGGCTCGGCCTTGTTTCAGGCGAGAGACTGGCCGGCCCTTCCCAGCTACCCGGCGAAAACGGGGCCGTTCCAGGTAAGCCTGAGCCTGCTGCACCGGCGACAGCTGCACGTGTGCAGCCACGTGTGCAGCCATGTATGCAGCCACGTATGCAGCCATGTGCGCAGCCACGTGTGCGGCCACGTGTGTGTCAGGCGAAGGGCGGGCGCACTATCTGCCGCCGTGGCCCCACACGCCCCCATTGTGCGCGATGCAAATATGGAAGTCTAGTTGTAGCTAGCATTGAAATGTTAGGAAAGCGCTGAGAGAGAGAACGCAGGTTTTTCTCGAAAAGCTGCGATTAGAAGGAGTGTTTGTAAGCTTAGTGGCGGAAAGACACACATGGTTGCCTATTTTTGGCAAGATGCTTTTTTGAACAAGACGTATGGCACCTGGCTCGTTTTGCTACTTGGAGTCGCAGGTCCCTCCCCCCTTCATACACACTTACTTCCCCGGGCGAAGGTTCTTTTGTGTCCTCTGTTTGGAGTTAAGTTTCTGCAGTCTGTGCTGCTCATATTTTGTAGGCCATTGGTTAAGGCTTTTGGTTGCACGCGCGCCGTAAACAATCTAAGAAAATTGCGAACGCTGCATCTCTCAATGACATATTTGGTACGGGAAAGCATTCGTTGCAGACTTATTCATACTGAACGGGGAAATGCATATTTATAGTGCATTACCTTTAGAACAAGACGGGGTTGACCAGAAGAGCTGCACTGTTTTTACGTCCTGGACAAGGGCCGAATAGCGTCCTCAGACATAACGATCCGATGTTGGGCCTTTTGGACGGCAAACAGGTCCGTTTCTGCTCTGCTACCGAACCTGTTATCTCAGGTGTTGACGTGCAACACAGTCGTGACACTGCTGCACCAAGTGAGTGAGGCTTCACATCAGCCGCCCCCGTTCGAAGTGAGAAATGATCGCTGATAAACCCCAATAGCGGGTGAGTGCGGTGTCCTGGCCTTCCATTGACATGTAGATTGTCATTGAGAGCATACACGCTCTTCAACCGGTATCACAAGAGGTGCTGTCTGGTTAAAGCAGTCAACCTTGCAGGTGGCTGTCGGTAGCAGCTCTGTGACCAAAAGGCGTGTACATTGCACGGAGATGTGCGTCCGTCAGAGGAAAGCTTGCCAATGGCAAAGGTTGCAGCGAAGTGCAACAACTGTACGCGTACCTCGTGCAGAGTAGTATGCTCTGGCGTTTGTCCCAAACATAATGGACAGTTTGGGGCTGGGTACCGTGTCGAAACGCAGCCGCGCTTGCGCCAGGTACGGGCTCAGCGCCGCCGTCCCGGTCCAGGCGGGCGTTGCGTGCGCGGCAGAGGCGATGATACACGAGGACCGCGCCAGTCAGGCATGAAATTGTAAGACAATGCAAATTACGCGATGCGTTCCGTATTTCCATCCGTTGCGTGTGCTACAAATTTATAAACCCCGCAGCCCCCTCCCCCCCCCCCCAAAGAAAAACAAAACACATTTACGGTACTCCTCCCCCAAGAAACCAAAGCAACAGAAATATCACACCGTGTACCAGGGACTGGCACAGTGCCAGGGACGCTTCTGAAAGACGGGGTCAGCGTGGGAGGGGGGGGGGGGGTAGTTGTCCACTCCTAAAGACTGGCCCGCTCAGGAGCGTTGCCGCCAACACGCTCGGCTCGGCAGAACAAGAGACAAATGAGTAAAAGGTGCCACTATGCTTATATGCATACCACTTTAACACTACCACTTTACCACTTTATTACTATACCACTATGTATGACTGCTGTATAAAGTCTGGCTTATCTTCCACGTGTCGTCATTCGAGCGTCTGTAAGCGAGCGGTGGGCGGCAGCACGCGAGCCCAGTACAGTGCCGGTGACTTGACTGCCCAGCACCAGCCACGAGGGTCACCGCTGCAGCGGCGCCCGCCGAGCTGTGGCACTCTTGGCGGAAGTGTTTGGCTGGCTGATGCGGTGACACGGGAAGAGCGGTCCGTGACAGAGTCACGCTGGTGATGTTACTCAGGGCAGTGTATGCCCGGTGCCTGCGTAGAGCACGGGTTGCGACATTTCGTGGTAGGCACAAATGCAGGCATTCCTCCCATATATGCTGTGCTTTTCAGCCCTGCCTATTTCGGTTAGCAGGAGCAGGCGTCGACCAAGTGCGGCATTTGGCGGGCTAGGGTCAGACCCTCGCGCTTCCCAGGCCTCTCCCCAGCCCAAGACCTTGACTCCAAGTGGAGAAGCGAACCCATGTTGAACCTAGCTGAAACAGCAGCGCATGCGAGCAACCCCCCTCCCCCCCCCCGCCCCCAAAAAGAATGGAATACGCTGGGAAGGGCCGGTGATCCTCTCCTTTGCCACCGATTGTCGGTGCTTCAACGTCTTCGACCATCGTCGCATGTAGAGTGTGGGGTTGTTTAAACGTATATCAGCTTTGCATGCCAGCAGAGATTGCAAGACACTTGGAAAGGTCTGGTGAGGTGTACCAAAACGTCATACTTGGAACACTATATGTTTAGACGGGCTGACCGCTGTGTCGGGCACTGGCGCTCTGTTTGTTTTCCGTACTGATCCGCTTCATCCAGGATGCAGGACATTTCAGGGCGATTCGAAAAGGTCATTCGAAGGTTGTCAGGCAGTGGCAACATTGGTTTGCGCTAAGATTTGAAGCAGCGCCTGATATTTCATAAATGAATTTGTGTTTAGTTTGTTAAACTTGTTATTTGGCTGGCTGTGTTTCAAAAGAACTCTGCCCAGCGGACTTCTACCGCTGTAGTTATGCGTGGGCAGTGCAAACAGACGAAGGATGCATGCCACAGAACCACCATAGAACCACCAGACAGAACATGCAGAACATAGGTTTTGTACCTGTGTCAGCTGATAACGGCCATGAGAACTATACGCTTTAAAGATCGGTTCGAACCCTCCGATTGGATGGATTTCTGGGATCAGTGTTCACGCTGAGCCCCGTTCGTCCCGTGAGTCCTGTTGTCGCCATCCGACCGTGAAATGTATTAACGTCAAAATTTCGCTATTTGATATTGGGACGTACAAATGTGACCAAAGCCATAGCCCGACTCGTTTGCCGCGCAACTTCTCACGTATCTGGTGAATGCCTTACGGAGCGTCCTCATCACCACAGGTTTGCCGGAAGATGCCGAATGCAGGGACAAAGTGGCGATACCCTGCCAAATTTGGATCGTTTTTAGGCTTGACGTGCCGCAATGCTCGGCACGGTCCGCCATGCCCTCTGACGTTTACCGACATTTAGCCCGGCCACTGGCACCGGGTGCAGCCATACCAGTCGGGGAGAATAGCGAACTTCCAAACCGACTATAGCCCACTGCCACGGCGATGTGTATCGGAAGGCAGTCGCTGTGACTGGCTGCTTTATTTGGACGGACAAATGCGACCAAAGCCGTAGCCCGACTCATGCGCCGCGCAATAGTTCGGCTGTTGGGTGACAACATGATGGTGTACTTACCGCCCACCTAAGTTGTTCGTTCATAATCGCTCATCACTGTGGATTGCAAGGACACATTGTACTCCAGATACATTTGTATTTGCTATCTCCATCGCAAGCATACCAAACACCGCAAAACATCAAACGAGCGAACAAACTTGTAAAAATGTGTCTTTACCAGGACAGGTTAGCTAGTGGCCCTCGAATTTGGGTGCTAAGTGGCTGCACGCTGTTAGTATGCTTATATATATATACGATCGATTTAACATTCGCGTATCTGGTGAATGCCTTAAGGATCGTCCTGGTCACCACAGGTTTGCCGGCAGAGACCGAATGCAGGGACAAAGTGGCGATACCCTGCCAAAATTGGATCGTTTTTCCTCTTATCTAAGCGCAGAACGACCGCCCGCCCCGCCATGGGACGCCGTGTGATGCTATATCAACGCCTTGAACAAGCGGACACCGACCGTCGGACCGGCTTTCAACCGGACGCCGTGTGCGGGTGATTGTATTGAACTAATAGGCAAGGCGCGATGTTTGAATTTCGTCCCATAGCCCTGCTATAGTGCTGTCCAACGGACCCGGTCCCAGTCTCCGTGCTAATTTATGACTATTTTAAAACACTGTCATGTAGGTTTTTCTTCGCGTAGCGGTCTCCCTCATTTGAATAGCACTTGTCGTGGGGGGGGGGGGGGAAAAATTAGCGTTCTGACCATCACAGGCGGACGAATTGCTCTCCGTTTCAGAGAAAATAGTGCTGTACTTTTCGTTAATGCTCTTTGCGCGCTATATATCCACATATCGGATACTTTTATGGGACTTAAACGGCTGCCTTTTAAGGAGCAATTCCTTCGAATGCCTTGGTAGGATGGCTTTAGAGTCAGAATTTGTGCTGAGTTTACACTCAGTCTGCTTCGAACACGCGGATGCACACCACCCTTGTGAAACTACTTCAGTTCAGATGGCACTTATCGCGGAGAGATTTGAACGAGTCAGTGCCTCACTCTTTGTCGGCAACTGGTTGACCGTGACACAAGCCACATTAAAGGGAATGCTCCACATTTGAAGATATTGAAGCAAGCATCAGATTTGATGAAATAAGCTGATTTATAACTATTGGTATGCCTTTAAATGGAAAAGACTGCTCTAGACAACGCAATTTCTCTGTTATAATATATGTGCATATATAGTAACTATATATCATAAATGGTAACTATGCTCCTTAATGCGGCCTTTTTCATTACGTCATCTTACCTTGTACGACATTGATTTAGAGCTAATTGACCACCGTTATGTCTGGAAATCGTTCACTAGAACGCCAGATACGAAGGACTCGACCAGTGTATTTTTATGGCCTTGACCGCCGTATGGCTATAAAATGGCGGAATTTGAAGGACGTTATGGCGTCATGGATGCCAGGGAGACCTTGACATAGCCTTCCCGAAAATGTCTGCGCATTTTATGGGTTGTGTAGCTCAGAAACTAGAACGGATAGGTCTTGAGAACGACACGGTTGTGAACTGCACCGAATGATCTTCGAGATAGCCGTTTCAGTTAAAAACCCCACACAAAGTGTGTAACACTCGCTTTAAG